ACAAACACATTTCTTTACTCCCAATCAGTCCAATAACGAGCACATGCATACGGGCTGCTTAATTGTCACGCTCTTTTCCACTATTCGTGCGTTGCAAGTTGCAACCATTCGAGCTTAGCTATTGATCAATGATAGGTTGGATTTCATTTAGTATATCTGTGACATATTAGGTTGGATTCCGTTTAGTAATTTACCAAACAGTTTATACGAAATATATATATGATTATAATAGAGATATTCCGAGCAGCATTCTAGTCTTCCTCAGTCCCAGTTTTATTTATTGGAGCATTATTTCTGGATGTTTCTCCCTCATCTTTTCTCGCGTACTCTCAGCCATCTGCATTCAGATCACATATAAGTTAGTCAAAACAAACTTAAGCTCAGAGTCAGAATATAGAGTTTACTGTGACATATCAGGCCTTTGAAGAATTGATTCATCCCAAATCCCACTATACATAAACTGTCCTAGAACCGACTACGCTTTGATACCGCTTGAAGAGACCCGACCCATTTTAAATACTATCAGTACAAGTATAAACCGACTTCCTCGATCAGACTTAGGCCATTTTCCAACTTTTATATATTTTTGTGTGTGTTTAGTTCCAAACAAATCAAGCAAACATAATAAGAGTTTAGATAGATAAACATGATAAGTTTTTTAGACTTTCAACTTAAAATCAATTGGCAATTAGTCGATTGGCCCAAGTCCCTTATATACTCATTCATATTTCCAATGTGAGATATTTATCTCAATACTCTCCCTCGAGATAATGGTGCGTATAACCATTGATTTCGCAGAATCCATCATATCCCTCTGAGATAATGCTATTTTCTAGTTATCTCGAAGAAATTGGGCTTTCCGCCATCAATTCGTGGGATGAACGGGCCACTGTTCGGACCGGATTAATGGGTCAGGGTATGAGCCGGCTCTGATACCATGATAAAATTTTTGGACTTCTAACTTAAAACCAATTGGCAATTAGTGGATTGGCCTAAGTCCCTTATATATTACTCATGTCTCATTCATACTTTCAGTGTGAGATCTTTATCCCAATAAAACATAGATTCAAGTTAACAATTAAGTGAATTTTCTAAACAAGCTATTACAAGTTCAACTCGTTCTTTATCTACCCAAGTCCACCATCACTCTTTCATGCATTGTCCCTCAATCATTCTGTCTATACTCTTTCGGGTTTGATCATGACATGCATCCACAAAGGAGCATAAGCAACATATTTGCTTAGTGAGAGCAGTCATCATGTCTCACTTAGCCAATGGTGAAGCAAGCGTATGTATCTTGGTCAGTCAATCAGATAATTGGACATGTTTATCACCCAGTTAGATACTTGACTGAATTAGATAAGCAATCAGTACAGGACAATCTCGTAACATTCATACCACGATTATATACTTAGACTACGGTCACGCACTCAGCTTTGTTTATTGGTTCGGTATGATTTAGTTTGATTAGTCTTTCTAATATCTCTTGCACACTTTCCTCGGATTTCTTGAGCACTTGAACATTCCAACACTTGAAATCACCAATCAGACAATTGTTCTTTAATCGGACTTGGTCGATTTAACCAAAATAAAACTCAAACTTTCTCCTTTGATCGAACGTTTCTCTCTCGTTTCTTACTTACGATTTTCTTGACAGTAAATAGAAAAATGAAGAAGAGATGCAATTAAATAAGCAGTTATTTAAAGGGGAAATTGGAAAATTGAGACACTTTGAACTTTTATTTGTTCATATAGGACTTCTCATACTTTGGGCAGTTCTGGACATGTTTTACCCTTTATTAATGAAAAAAATAGTATTCTAATTTTGAAAAATAGAAAAAATATGAGAAATCTAGAAAACATAAGTATGACAACATATATGTTTAAGCTTTTATTTTTTTAAAATGGAATCATATTTTATTTTATCTTTTAGCTATAGATAGAATACTCGTTCTGGTTATCTACTCAGTTTAGAAATCATATACTGGGTGTTCTTGCTAGATAGACCCGAGGTATGGAACGTAATATAACATTTCTTGTCTATTCTAACCAAGGTAGTATTGGTAACGTTATAATCAAGGCATATGTCTTTGGTGTACGTGATGCTAGATACTGATTTATAACCATAACTTATTGATATACCTCATCCAGATTTTGTGCCATAACCAATTCAACATGTTACCTTATGTGACGCTTGAGAAAGAATACGTTTCCCACCTTTTCTACTGTGTTCTGCCTTAGGTAGTATACATATTCTAGGTAATCCGCAAAATATGGAAACTTCCATATTCGGTTGAAGATGTTTCCTAAATATCTTAGAGAATATTTTGTCCACTATTTTCTCTCTTCCTCACGGGATTGATCTATCCCAGAAAGAGTCGGTCGATCCCAACGGTCAGTCTCGATGATTAAACACAAACATAAAAAAACACGGAGCAGAAACTGATCGACCTTGTCCAGTTCAGTCGATCTTCACCGATCAATCTATCATAGATTGATCGATCTCTATTTTAGATCGATCGATCCCGATCCCAAATAATAGAACCGAACCGAAAATAACCAAATATTTCTCTTTGAATCAGTTTTGCTCCTCGGGTGTGTTGAATCATGAGTCACCTTGATACATAATGTGTTCTTCGTGTACGAGTATGTGTTGAATTGTCACATAATTATGACAGAGAGAAGGCGGAATCGCCATGGGAGAGAGCTCGGCGGAGAAGATGATGTAAAACAAAATTAGGGTTATCGATTTCCCCTTTGTACTTTGTGTCCCGATTCTTGTTTTTTTTTTAATTTATAATTTAAATTTATAATTCCCCTTAATTGATTAATTTTAAGGGTATTATGGTATTAACAAATTTGAAAATCCTATTTTCCCAAAAAATCTTCTAAAAATCTTATAGGGACAAATCCAAGTTGAGAGTGTCCTAATTTTCTAATTTTTCCTTATTTAAAACATCGTTCCTCCTCATTTTCCACTGGACCTGAAAGTGTAAACCCGTCAATCTGTTGGTAATTTGCAGTAAGTTGTAATTATCGAAGATTTATTTAAAGTGCGTTACCTATTCTTAGAGATGGCAATTGGGTTTTCCCGTCCCATCCCATCCCGGATCGCTGCGGGTTCGTCTTCTAGCGGGACACAGCGGGCCTGTCTCGCGTGGGATGCGGTCTTAAAAACAGCGGCCCAATCCCGTACCGCATTTCTTGTAGGCCTTCGCGGGCCTTTGTGCGGGACATGTGATAATATGCGCAGCTGAACGATTCAGATCCCTCTGAAACGCTTTAGGCCATTTTAGGACATAGTTCAAGTCGTCGATTCAACTGAACATAATTCATCAATCATTGATTTGCTTATTTTTTTATTGAAAACATAATTGCAATTATTTGTATTTTACCCAAAACATATTAACATACAAAGTAAAAATAAGAGATAATTGGCTAAAGCACCCTATTTGGCACCTATAATTAGAGACTTATCCATGATGTGACAATCACTTTCTTTTGGACCATTTTGTCCTTCTCTACACTCTCTATCCTCTCTTTGACATTTCCCCCCTTTTTTTTTCCTCTCTTCAATCCCAAATTATTTTACAAATCTCTATCACTCTATATACAATTAAATTTTAAATTTCATTATTTTTTCATAAGTGGCTTTGAATCCTCAATTTTTTGACTTTTTTTCTCTCTAATCCATAATTATTTTACAAATCTCTATCATTCTATATACAATTAAATTTTAAATTTCATTATTTTTTTCATAAGTGGCTTTGAATCCTCAATTTTTTTATGATATCAATTTTCTGGGTTTTAGATTCGACGTCGTGTTAGCGGTTAAATATTGTAGACATTAACAGAAGTGTTAGTTGTTAACAATTATTTTTACGCTTCGCGTTAATAAATGTGTTCGCTGTTAACAAATATTGTAGACGTTAATAGAAGTGCTAACTATTAACAATTATTTTTACGCTTCGCGGTAATAAATGTGTTGGCTGTTAACAAATATTGTAGACGTTAACAGAAGTGTTATATGTTAACAAATATTTTTACGCTTCGTGTTAATGAGAGGAAAGAGAAAGGGCATTCTCGGCATTTCCTTGCCAAATGGTTGTGTCAATGTCCTTCATGTTCAATCAATGGTATTTTGCTAATTTGAGTTTCAAATATGGGTAGTTCACTAAATCACTCTAAAAATAATTGCAGAAAATATTTTCCATTATCTTATAACTTATAAGTTTATAACCAATGTTTTAGTTTGCTGAATCCAAAAATTAAATAAAATGAAACACTAAATAAAAAATGTCAACCCCAAATTAAATAAAAAAGAAACCAAATAAAAACACTAGTGAAGCTCGTCATCGCTGGAGCTGTAATCGTTATCACTGGAGCTCGAATCATTATCACCGAAGCTCAAATCATCATCATCGCCCGAGTTCCTTACGTTTTCTCAAGGGAAGTCACATGAATCGTATTCTTCTCACTCATTCTCTCTTTTTTCCAGGTAAAACAAAAAAAAATGCGGGTCCTTGTAATCCCGCAGGACCCGTTTCGGCCATCTCGCAAAAGACCCAGTCCCACAAAGACCCATCCCGTAAAGCTCGTAAATTTACGGGCCTGGAAAACCTTGTCTCAATACCGTCCCGCGACAGTTCTTTACGGGATAGACCCGCGGTCCAGATCCATAATTGTCATCTTTACCTATTCTCAATCCAATATTCCAAATCTGTTAATTAAGCACGAAAAGAAAAGTAGTATTGGGTTACCAAAAAAGGAAATAGAGGAATAATGGAATATATATAGTGGGAAAAGAGTGAAATGGACACGAGAGGTTGGCAATGAAAGCCTTTGCTTCTCCGTAACCCAAAAATATTCGGTTGTCACATAACATGCAGAGATGCTCCACTCTATATCCATCTATAAATTACATAACAATCAAAGGTCTGATCAGAAAGCAGAACAAGAACTCAAACACACACAGAAGAACTCAAACAACTTCAGTTAAGAAAAAAAAAAAAAACAAATCATGTCGGACAAGTGCGGAAGCTGCGACTGTGCTGACAAGACCCAGTGCGTGTAAGTCTCTTCTCTTTCTGTTTCACCGCTCTGCCAAAAACCAAAAAAACTCTCAATATTTGTTGATGAATCTGAACTTTTTCTTATGCACAATAGACTAAACCCTATGTGTTCTTATGTTTTCTTACTATGATCTAGAGATTTTTGATTTGAATGTTTCATCTTTATGTAACTACAGGAAGAAGGGAACCAGCTACACCTTTGACATCGTCGAGACTCAGGAGAGGTTGTAGATGACGGTTACAGTTATGGACTTTTGGTGATGGTTATGTTGATGATGATTTTTTTCTATTTCTTTTTGCAGCTACAAGGAAGCCATGGTCATGGACGTTGGTGCAGAAGAGAACGGGTGCCAATGCAAGTGTGGCTCTACCTGCAGTTGCGTCAACTGCACTTGCTGCTAAATTACAAACCATTTCTCGTTTTAACCTATTAATCAAAATGTAATATGAATAAAACGTTGGCGTGAGCTCATCTGTTGAGATCATATCTCTCTTATGACTCTCTAGTATGGTCTGTGGTGTGTGATGTAATCGGTTTATGGCCCCTTATCCTCTAATACATCATATTATCTACATATTAGCTCTCGTTGTCTTGCCTCCAAGCCCAAGAATCTTTCAGTTTAAGGTTTTTTACTTGATTATTATTTCGTTACTAACTAATACCCCTTCATAAAGCTGCTGCTTACCTAATAATTAATCTTTTTTCTACAAAAATGATAAAAACTTACGTAATATAATCAATGATTACTGAAAACAAATTTTGCAATTAATAAAAGGAAACGATTTTGTTCATAGAAAGACAACTCGTGGGTCTAGTTTCACTGCAAGGCCCTTGTGCGGCGTCTGTAACGCGTCCACTTGGCTTAATTAATTTGACCCATTTTTAAATATTTTATTTCCTCAGATTTGAAGATTGAAAACTCGATGCAGATTCACAACGTCTGTTTTCTTGCTCTATTCTTAGTCGACTTTTTCTTGGGTTCACCCCCTAAGGTGAACCTCTAGGTTCACCAACCAGTAGAAATGTGTTATTTCATATTTGATATCTTTTAAATAAGGAAATAAAATCTTACATATTATTTTTTAAATAAAAAAAATAAACAAAAATAAAATATTAAAAAACGAAAAATATTCTTTTAAAATATATACTTTAATAGTATATTATCTTTTTTTAAAAAAAAAAAATCGTGTTAAAATAATTTTAGTGTTTTTAAGATTTATCCAAAAGGTTTATGGTTTACCCAAGGGTTTAGGGTTTACGATTAGGGTTTAGGGTTTAGGATTAGGATTTAGGGTTTAGTGTTTTAGTTTTAAAATATTTTTTTAAAAAGCATTGTAATTTTAGTGTTTTTAAGATTTATCCAAAGGGTTTATGGTTTTCCCAAGGGTGTAGGGTTTAGGATTAGGGTTTAGGGTTTAGGGTTAGGATTTAGGGTTTAGTGTTTTAGTTTTAAATTTTTTTTTTAAAAAGAATTCTTTTTCGTTTTTGTAAACATTTTTGTTTTTATTTCATTATTGTATTTTTATTTAAAAAACATAATATAACTTAACAAGATTTTATTTCATTTTTTAAAAGATACCAAATATAGAATAATAGGATCTTATTGGTTGGTGAACCTAGAGGTTCACCCTAGGAGGTGAACCCAAGAATAACTCTTCTTAGTCACTCATCTTTCGCCGTCAAGTTCAACTTCAACTCCTTCGACGGCAACAACTTGTTCCTCCGAGACGCAAGCTTGGTCCCTTCCTCCGATGGTGTAAACCGTTCCGGAGCCTTATCCATGTCCCGAGACGAGAACCCATTCTATCAAGTTCAACAAAACCAATTACAACGGGTAGGCGGAAAACAACCTCTTCGCTATCGAATTCGATACTTTCCAGAACAATGTCTAAAAATCTCGGGTATATTTAGTTACAATAAAACTATGTCAGTTCAGTTTTATATTATGATTTATCAATTTAAAAATTAATTATGGTTATGAAAAATTTACGTTCACGTGTCAATCATATCTATCTTCAATATTTTTCTCTTGTGTTTTTGTTCATCTTGGTTATTGCTCGATATAAATATTGATTTTGAAGTTATTCTCATTTCGTTTGTTTATTTTGATCTAATATTTAGATAATACTTATGATTTAAATTAATTAAAAAGATAAATACTCAGGTTAGATCTGCATTTTTTGCAGAATAAGTATTTTATATTTATTATTTATTTTATGTTTTTCTGCATATTGTGAAATAATAAAAGAATAAGTATATATATTTAATAACTAAAATATCAGATACTATTATGTAATAAATTGGCGTGTGCATATAAATCTAACGATCACTCGTGTTTATTCACAATTAAGGTAATTAAATCAAAATAATCAATCTTATCTATCGTATATGATATATAATTAAATTTAAATGTTATTAACATAGATATATAGCACAAATTTAATATATATATATATTTATTAAATGAGGTTTATACTCATATGATTTTATGATTATTTGTATAACAAAACTTTACACCAACAATTTTTTTATTGTGAGATGTTTAATAGTTTTAATATTTTATAATCATTTTAAAAAAAACAGTGACAAATTTTAAATATTAATGTTACAATATATGTTTAATGCAAATATAAAAATATTACTATGTATTTTCATACAATGTATAATTTAATTTAAACAATATGATTATACGATGTACAGATTTTTATGAATGATTAATGTAATTGTGTAATTTATTTTAATAATAAAGAAATAAACAAAATGATAAAAAGTGTATACAGATTGTTATCAAATATGTATTGTTTAAAATCATTAATGGTCATATATATATTTAATCACATTAGGTAATTCCATAGATTTTATTTAAAGAAAGTCTGCAGAACAATAAATATTTGATATATGTGATAAACTATAGTCTGTGAAATATTATATTACTAAAGAGTATAATTTTTAGACTATAGTTTATATAAAATGCTATAGAATCCTTCTAAATTTAATTAGAAGGTATAGAGAACCTTTACGTAGGATGAAGTTATTTTTTTAATTAATATAAACTTAAGGTTACATCTTTTCAGATGTTTCTCAATTAATATATAAAGGATTTATGATGTACATTTATTTAATAAAATGTACATATTCGAAGGGTTAGTAAACTAGTCGACACATTTTGTTTGTGTCCATTGCTTAATTTTTTTACGTAACGTGTATAATAAATCGTCCATAAACAAGGCGTGCCGTCACTACAAAAAAATGATTAGTTTAAATCATTTATTTTATATATTTGTATTACTTATAAATGCTGTAAAAGCATTTTACATCACTTCCATAAATGACTTAGTTTTTGGTGATGCAAATAATTTGTATCATTTTGTTCATAACTGATGTAAAAATAGCAAATATTTGCATTAATTACTTGAAGTGATTTTAATATGTGTCACTTGTTAGAAATGATGTTATTATTCACATCACTAATCATAATTGATGTTAAATATTTATTTCAGTTATAAATAATTGATGTTAAAATTAATATCAATTATTGTAATAATTATAATATTATAATAATTACGTAAATATAAGAAATTATTTGATTAATAANATTACTTGAAGTGATTTTAATATGTGTCACTTGTTAGAAATGATGTTATTATTCACATCACTAATCATAATTGATGTTAAATATTTATTTCAGTTATAAATAATTGATGTTAAAATTAATATCAATTATTGTAATAATTATAATATTATAATAATTACGTAAATATAAGAAATTATTTGATTAATAACAAATTTTGTTTATTAGATAATTATCATAATTATTGTTTTTAATTAATTACATAACAAACAATATCTTTCTAATATCGATTAAGATTTCAATTACAAAAAAAAAAACTTTATTATTTTTTCAGAACCTACATCACGATTTACAAATAATTTACAAAAAAAAAAACAACACATATCAAACATATTACTAAAATGATACATCTTTTGTTCATTGTTCTTTGTTCCTTCTTGTAAAGGTCACATGCTCTATTTCTGCCATGAATTGTAAACTGTTCATGATGAAGATTCTTTGAAAATCAACATATCTGAAGATACATTTTCCTCTAAAAACTAAAGAAAATAAATTTCATAAGACCTTTGATGAATCTGTTTGAGAATATTGATTATAAATATTGAATAGCATATAATCTTAAATACCTCTTCTGTTTCTCCTGTAGAAAACGTTTGAAGTATATCTCCACTGATGAAATTTACCTTATCATCACTTTAATCTATCAACGATTATTAGGAATGTGAATACTATTCCAAATAGCAAACCGAAACGAATAGGTGAGAGAATAAAAGAAAACATGTAGTAATACAAAGTAATAAATTCTTTGAAGTTTTTAGAAGATGATCAGTCATCAGATATCAACTTTGAAAACGGTGGTTGAAAAAAGTTTTCTAAATGTTGGGGGATTTAGAAAAGTTTTTGACGTGATAAAAGGAATGTGAGTTTGTGGGGTGAGATAAAAAAGGAGATCCCTATTTTTGTGGTAACATATATTTTTATTTTTAATGTCAAAAATATTTATTTTTAATGTCACAAAAATTTCTTAACAAACTAAAAGCAAAACAATAAATGTCAATTAACTATAAGCATTTATTTCAGGTAAAATTTTACTACCATATATGTCGTAAAATCTTTTTATCTAGCTTTTTTTAATAATTATGTATTTATAATCATTTACATATATTTTGATGTAAAAATTCAGCTATATATATTTTACAGAATTATTTTTAGGTTGATTATTTAATCAGAATTTTTTGTAAGATAGAATAAAAATTTATTTAATCAATATTGAATATTCGAATTTATAAAAATAAGCTTTGGAATCATCAAAACAATAAAATGAACGACATATATTAATATTTTGTAAACTAATTTATGTTTTATATCAAATTTGCATCGTTTATTATAAATAATTTTACTTTATATCATTTTTCTAACTGATATAAACACAAGTTAATACATGTATCAGTTATTCACGTGATGTAAATGTATATTTTGTATCAGTTGTTTGAACTGATGTAAACTAGTATATATTTGTATCAGTTGCAATGAAAATGATGTTAGATAAATTTTAAGAACATCGTTTACTATAACTGATACTGAAACAAATATTCTGCATCACTTTTTAATAAATAATTCAAACTAAGATCACTTATCTTTGTGATACAATTTAAGTGATGTAATACAGTCTTTTTTTTGTAGTGCGTCAGGAATGGATCTTATAGGGCAACTCAAGGTGATGCAGTCAGACGTGAATCCGTATAAGGTAGGTAGAATTTTCGATTATAATATCGTCTATGTAATATTTCTCAAAGTTTGTAATACATAATTAACCAGCGTTAAAAAATCGTCCATAAACAATATTAGCCCACTATTAAATTGCTAACAAGACATTTATTTTGGTGTGGTTGGGGTATTAGGGATATCCTTTATCCAAACACAGTTAAATGCTTTTTTGTCATCAATAAATTTACCTATTCATGACGATCTACAAACCAAACTGGAAGTTATAAA